TGTCCCTGTCCCCAGGTGCCCTCCCAGGTGTGTCCCTGTCCCCAGGCACCCCCCAGGTGTGTCCCCCCTGTACCTGTGTCGGCGGGCCGGGGGTGGCCGCGGTGCCGGAGCAGGTCGGTGAACTCGAGGCACCGGGCGTGGGGGGGTCGGGCCCGGGGGGCGAAGCAGAGCTCGTGCACCAGGCGCAAAGCGCTGCGGCAAACGTCCTCCTCGTAGTCCCCGGACATGCCTGGAACACGCCTGGCACACGAGAACAACACGGGACACGCGTGGGAAAAACGTGTTACACCCCTCAACACGCCTGCCACACCTGGACACACCTGTATAGATCTGAACACACCTGGACACACCTGGACACACCTGGACATGTGGTCACACACCTGGCACAGACCTGGACACACCTGGACACACCCAGACACACCTATATATGTGGTTACACACCTGGACACAGCTGAACACACCTGGACACACCTGGATATACCCGGACACACCTGTTCATGTGGTCACACACCTGGACACACCTGTATAGACCTAAACACACCTGTCACACCTGGACACACCTGGGGGGTCCCAGCGGGGTCTCACCTGGATCCCAAAGTTGTCCTTCCCCCCGGTGCTGCCCCCTCCCCAAGCCCCTCCTCTTTCCCAAGCCCCTCCCCTTTCCCAAGCCCTGCCCCTTTCCCCATGCCCCACCTCTTTCCCCAAGCCCTGCCTCCTCACCTGTGGGGTCACCTGTCCGGGGGGGGTCAGCGGGGCCCGGGGGAGACGAGGGGGGGGCGGGGCCGGGCCATGCGTGGGGGAGGGGGACCTGTGTGTGGGGAAGGGGGGTCAGGGGTGTTTTTGGGGGGGGGGTTGAACCCCAAACTGTCCCCCCGGGGCTCAGAAACCCCCTCAAATGAGACTCCTCCCCACACACACATTGTGAAGCCCCCCAAACCTGCCCCCCTCAAAGGGGGAATTCCCCCCAGGTACTGCCCCCCCAGTGTGACCTCAAATCTGACCCCCCAGGGGCCCCCCCAAAGGGGGAACTTCTCCAAAGTGTGACCCCAAAACTGCCCCCAAAAACCTGCTCCCCCAAACCAGCGCCCCAATACCTGCACCACACCTGCCCCCCAAACCTTCCCCACACACCTGCACCCCAAAATCACCCCCAAAACAGCCCTCCAATACCTGTCCCACACCTGAATCCCCCAAAATCGCCCCCCAATTTTGCCCCCCCATACTTGCACTCCAAAACCTGCCCTCCAAAATCACCCCCAAAAACTGCCCCCCCACACACCTGCCCCACAGTTGAAGCCCCCCCAAAATCCCCCCCAAAACGTTCCCCTACCCACCTGCACCTCAAAACCTCTCCCCCAAACCAGTCCCCCAATACCTGTCCCACACCTGAACCCCCCAAAATCACCCCCCAAAACTGCCCACCCACACCTGCACCCCAAAATCACCCCCACACCTGCCCTACACCTGAACCGCCCAAAATCACCCCCCAAAACCTTCCCCCACACCTGCCCACACCTGAGCCCCCCCC